CCTTTACGGCATCACTCTGCACACACAGATCACAGCTCACACAAGCCATAAGGAGCTGTACACAGCCTTTCTTGAGAATCAACATTTATTTTATTTAGTACATCAGCCTATCTGGTAATGTTCGTTAAAGAGCTTGTACTCTTTCTTATTACAGTCTGTGTTATATTTGAAATTTGAAATACATAGGAGTAAATAGGAATAGTATGAGCATTACTAGTAAAGAGCTTAATTATGGAAAAAGAAAAATGGATATCTTGATAGTTGTAATCCCGAGTAACATTTCAGTATGTATTCACTGAATTAAACCATACAGAATGCAAGTTTAGGTGTTAACAAGAGATAACAAAACAAGGATGAAGCAGACAGCCCTGCATGAATAGAAAGGAAAAAAGGAAGACCTGTTTATGTAAATTTATCCTTTTGAAATCTCTTTCCCTTTGCGCCTCAACACTACCTAGCATGGTGCTGGGAATGGCGTTCCTTCTGGATGTTCTTCTTAGAGATTAGGGGAATTTTCTTCGGAGACCTTCGGGGCTTCTTGTTAAACTTGGGAGACCAGCTGATATTCCAGGGGTTGTTGACGGCACGATGGTATCGGCTGTATTGTTTCCAACGGAGAATCTGCGTGAACTCCACACCAGTCCGGACCAGGTCTTTGCAGAAGCGTCGATGTCTGGAGGAGAAAAGAGATTTCTAACTTCTTGATGTATCAGTTTCTCTTCCTCTTCCTACACTTCAACATCTTACCTGTCTCCCTCTCCTTCTTCCTCCCATTCCCCTTCTTTGTCTCTCACTATCTCTCCTCTGCCTCTCCCTTTCCCACACCTTCCCTTCCCCCACTCCCACCCCTCTCCCTCTCCCTCTCCCTCTCCCTCTCCCTATCCCTTTTCCTCCCCCACTCCCCCCTCCCACTACCTCCCCTCTTCCTCTCTTTCTCATTCTCTCTGCCTCTCCCTTCACCCTCCCCTTTCCCTTTCCCTCCTCTTTTACACCATCTTGTAAAACAATTTTCAACTTGGACACTTACCTCATTGACCCATTGCTTTGGACTTGGTACTGTACTACATACTGTTGCTCCTTCTCTGAGCCTGAACCCTGCTTCTTTGGCTGAGCCTCCTTCATGCCACAGTCACGCCACATCTGAAATGAAGAAGTTGGACTTAGATTTCTGTAGTGGATTACATAGGAAAATGCTGCCATAATTACTGAGGTATGATCATGTGTAATGGGTTCCTTTAGGTGTTTACATCATTACACACACTGTGTAATGGAGATGTAAGTCTTTTACTGAAAATGTTCTATAAAAGTTCCTTAGTACATGTTAAGACCATCCTCTCTAACTGCATTTCTACTTTTCAATTTTTTAAATAAGAAATACAAGCCAGGTTAATATAGATGAATGCATTTCTGGGAAAAAAATTAAAATCTATATTTTATGCAGCAGTAAAGGCAGAGAAATTGAAAGGGCAGTTTCTTTAAATTATTAATACATTTCTGACATAATACATACATTCAGATCTATTCAGTATGTACAGTACATATAATTCTGGATGGATATCTCTTTGATTTGAATACCACTGCAGGACATAGGCCTCTCTCAGTTCACTACTGACAGGTTATATGACAATACCACCGTTGCCTGATTGGATGCCCTTCCTAGTCAACCGCGGTTCAGCGTGCTAACACCTGTGCCACGGCGGTGACTTCCCCTACGAAACCTGTGTTTGACTTCTCAAGCCGATATATCGTTTTGTCGGGCTCGAGCAAGCAGTCAGAGCGCTGGCATTTTTACGACCGCCGCGATGGGGAATTGAACTCGAGACCACGAAAGTCGGAGTTCAGTGCTCTATAACCACTGGACCATCGTGGCAGTCGTACATATATATATATATATATATATATATATATATATATATATATATATATATATATATATACATATATATACATACATATATATACACTTACATATATATATATATATATATATATATATATATATATATATATATATATACATATATATATACATATATATACACATACATATATATACACTTACATATATATATATATATATATATATATATATATATATATATATATATATATATATATATATATATATATATATATGCGTATATATAAATAAATATATATATATGTATATATATATATATATATATATATATATATATATATATATATATATACACACACACACTCATGTAGCTATAGATACAGATATTGATAAAGTGCTCTAGTTGGTTACCTTGTCCCTGTACTCGCGGAGGCTGACCACCTCCTCCTCCATGCGACTCCGCCCGAAGGCCTCCACCTGCTTGTCGAACCTGCAGGTGAGGGGGGGGGGGGTGAGCCGATTTATTACTCTCATAGATGTATACTTACATACTTATACGTATATACACAATTACATACATACATACATACATAATACATGAACTAATGCATGTATAATTACATACATACATAGATTCAT